GCGTTGACTCTCTTACTCACTGGGCTAATGTGTATGTGTCAATATTTGAGAGTAGATACTGTAATGATGGTGACTTTGGTAGAGTGTTCTTTTGGCAAGCCTGGGAGGAGGGAAAAGGAGACCCTTTTGAGAAATGAGCCTTTGTTTCAGTATCTTTTCCCGTTTGAATGATCTCTGATGGCAAATGGAGGCCCCAGTTCTCTTCCACAGACAGTCTCATGCCCTGCTTGTTGAGGTGGCCAAAGTTTTGGGTTTGAGTCTGGCTGCCAGTTACCATCTCTCTTGTGACCTTAGGCACATCTTCATCTCTGTGCATCAGTTTCCTTACCTACAAAATGGAAATCAGAATGACCCTTTGCACACAGAGTTACAAAAATTAAGTTAGATGTAAAACAGTCCCAATATAACAAGTGAAGAAAACAGACAATGAACCATTAAATATGGTCTTATGGAATATTTTTTTTCCTAAAAAAAAAAAAAAAATCCACCCCAAACCATCTGGAAGGCTCTACCGTCAGATATTGATAGGGATGATGGCTAGGCTGTAGAACAGCATTGCCTTTTTCTCTTATCTCAATTTTCTAATTTTTCTGTACTGAATATATAATAACAAAATGAGTTGTTTTAATTAAAAATGGAACAGTGAGTCAGTGTTCATGAAAGCACTCTGGAAGCCATCAAATGCGCTATAAATTAGCTCTTGTTACGGTCGTTATAGTAATTATTATTGTTATTGCTAGTCAGCTAGGAATTTCTTTCCACCCCAAATCTCCTTCCTCGGCCCATCGTGGAAGTGCTCACGTGTTTACCTTCCTCTGGGTTCTGGTGGTTCTTCCTTCATTGACACCTGGCCAACTTCTCTCCATCTTTGTTGCCACCACCCCAGCCAGAGCTGGCATCATCTCTTGCAACTCGCTGAGATACCCCTTAATTAGGCTCTACTTTTCCCTGCAGCAGCCTGAGTGATCTTTGAGAAATGAACATTCAATCCGTGCCTCCCCTGCCTCCAAACTCCCAATGGCTTCCTGTTGGACTTGGTATAGAAGCCAGTCTGCACCTTAGCCCGCAGACTTGGCAGTCTGTTCTCACCTGTCCCTTCAACCTCTCCTTGAGGGTCACCCCATTGTCATCACACGGTTGTGAGCACCACCTTCATGCAGGCACCCAGGAAAGAGACCTAGGAAAGTGACTGCCCTAACTTAGCTGGTTTTGAAGCCTGTACATTTGGTATTATTGGATGTTTACGCATTTAGAGCTCTTAGCATGGAGGATGCAGAAAGGCTTTACATGGTTGCATGAGAATCTGTGTCTTTAGACCAAATTTGTATTTGCACTGGTCAGTATGGCAAACGAATGAAAAATGTTAATACACCATTAGATTTGTTTTTTTTTGAGACAGAGTTTCACTCTTGTTGCCCAGGTTGGAGTGCAATGGTGCGATCTCGGCTCACTGCAACCTCTGCCTCCTGAGTTCAAGGGATTCTTATTACCTCAGCCTCCCGAGTAGCTGGGATTACAGGTGCACACCACCACGCCCAGCTAATTTTTTTGTATTTTTAGTAGAGATGGAGTTTCGTCATGTTGGTCAGGCTGGTCTCGAACTCCTGACCTCAGGTGATCCACCTGCCTTGACCTCCCAAAGTGCTGGGATTACAGGTGTGAGCCACCACACCCGGCCTACCATTGGATTTTTAAATTTCTGTCTCTCTTTTTAATTCAGTTTATACTACGGATGAAAACCTCAATTCGAATTCATAACAGTGGGGATTAAAAAAACTGTCTTTTCTTTCTAACAAGCTATTGGAAGACTTAAAAAAAAAAAAAAAAGCCCTTCCTACTTCTAGGCCTTAGCCCTTATTGTTTCCCAGTCTGGTGTGCTCTGTCCTTGGTGCTTGGTGTGACCATCCGCTTCCTGTCCTTCACATACCAGGAGGAATGTCACTTCCTTAGGAGGCCTTCCCGGATCACCCTACTAAAGTAGGCCCCCTATATTCTTGTATTTTATTTTTAATTTCTTAACAGAAATTTTTGATTGAGATAATTGTAGATTCACATGCAGGTGTAAGAAATAATACAGACATTCTTTGTATACTTTTCTTTCCAATGTTACATTTTGCAAAACTATAGTACTACTGTACTATACAATACAATATCATAGAATATTGATATGGATACAATCCACCATCTTGTTCAGATTTCCCCAGCTTTATTTTCACTCGTGTGTTTGTGTGCGCCTGTGCCTGTGTGTTTATTTAGTTTTATGTATTTTTCTTTTTAAGGCAGGGTCTCACTCTGTCATCCAGGCTGGAGTGCAATGGCATGAACATGGCTAACTGCAGCCTCAACCTCCTGAGGCTCAAGCAATCCTCACACCTCAGCCTCCCAAGTAGCTGAGACCACAGAGTACACTACCATGCCTGGCTATTTTTTTTTTTTTTTTACTTTCTGTACAGACAAGGTTTTACTATGTCACCCAGGCTGGTCTTGAACTCCTGGGCTCAAGTGATCCTCCTCCCTTTTGGAGGCTCTGGCCTCCCAAAGCGCTGGGATTACAGGCAAGAGCCACCACCATGGGCCTAGTTTTTTTTTTTTTTTAAATTTTAAGTTCTAGGGTACATGTGCATAACGTGCAGGTTTGATACATAGGTAAACTTGTGCCATGTTGGTTTGCTGCACCCGTCAACTCATCATTTACATTAGGTATTTCTCCTAATGCTATCCCTCCCGTAGTCCCCCACTCCCCCTGCAGGACCCTGTGTGTGATGTCCCCTACCCTGTGTCCAAATGATCTCATTGTTCAATTCCCACCTATGAGTGAGAGAACATGTGGTGTTTGGTTTTCTGTCCTTGTGATAGTTTGCTGAGAATGATAGTTTCCAGCTTCATCCATGTCCCTACAAATGACTTGAATTCATCCTTTTTTATGGCTGCATAGTATTCCATGGTGTCTATGTGCACCACGGGCCTACTTTTATGTACTCTGATCATCTGTGTAGGTTTGTATATCTACCACAGTCAAGATGCTGGAGAGTTCCAGCACTCCAAGGCTCCCTTGTATTGCTCTTCTATCCCCGCATCCATTTTTCTCCTACCCACTTTTCTGCCATCCCTAACCCCTGGCAGCCATCAGTCTATCCTCTGTTTCAAAAATGTTGTCATTTCAAAAATACTATATAAATGGAGTCATATAGTATGTAACCTTTGGGGATTGGCATTTTTTTACTCAGCCTAATTCTCTGGACATTCGCCCAGGCTTTTGTGTGCATTGGCACTTGGTGCCTTCTCCTGGCTGAGCTGTGTAGCATGTGGTTTGTATGTAGCACTCTATGGTTAACCATTCTGTTACCCATATTCTTTGTTTTTTTAGAGCGAGCCTGTAGCCTGGGCTGGAGTGCAGTGATGCAATCTTGGCTCACTGTAATCTCTGCCTCCTGGGTTGAAGCAATTCTCCTGTCTCAGCCTCCCCAGTAACTGGGATTACAGGTGCGTGCCACTATGCCTGGCTAATTTTTTGCATTTTTAGTAGAGATGGGGTTTCACCATGTTGGCCAGGCTGGTCTTGAACTCCTGACCTCAAGCGATCTACCCACTTTGGCCTCCCAAATTACTGGAACTACAGGTGTGAGCCTCCGTGCACAGCCACCCATATTGCTTTTATCACATCATTCTGTTTATTTCCCTCCCAGCACCAATAACACAAGTCTGGAACACAAGTCTGTTCCCGGCTTCCCTGACCTGGGCAGCTCGTGAGACCACGGGGCAGCCCCTCGCAGTCCGGGACTTGACAGCCCCAGGGCACCCACCGACTGCACTCACTTGGGTGTGTGGGCCTCGTCCACGCAGTGCCCCAGCTGGAACTTGTGGGATTTGCTCCGATGCAGCGCGGTGAACCCTGGGATCAAGTGTATCAGCTTTCGGGAGGAGGGTGAAATCCTTCAGTGAGCATGTTTTCTTGTCTATCATGACTCTGCTTTGGCAGAATGTAAGTCCAGGGACCAGGGTCTCTTCTGTGTTACTTTTGTGTCTTTTCCAAGCAAAGGGCATAGTTGGCACTCACAGGATGTTTACTGGACAAATGCATGAATGAGAACATGGTGACATAGATCTGGAAGAAGTATGCGGTGGCCGAGGAAGTGGTCAGGGAGAAGGATGAACTTGACTTCCTTGGAATCTGTGTATCTCATGTGAGGGTTAGGTATTAAAATGTCCATGTAAGGGAAAAGTTATCCTTTAAAATCCTTTAAATCACTTTGAAACTGCCGGAACTGGAACCTTGGGAAGCTCAAAAGGCGAGAATTAACTTCTTTGCTTTTCTGAGCATTTGGGCTGTGGGGTCTTTCCAGCTATGGGGCAGTGGAAGACAAGGCTGTTGAATGGGGAATAGGGTAACAGGGTCAACAAAGGGATTTCATTCTCTTTTTGGAGAGGCCAAGTAGGGGTGGTTGGATTTATGTAAATGTGCTTATGATCTAATGTGAGTATGATGTAACGTGCATTTGATAGAATGTCTATAAGAGGTAATGGGCATATGAAATAGCATGCATATGATGTAATGTACATATAATGTGACATGCATATGATGTAATGTGCATATGATATAATGTACATATAACATGCATACAATGTAACAGATATATAGTGTAACATGCATGTGATTTAATGTGCATATGATATAATGAGCGTATGTTATACATACGATGTAACAGTTATATAGCGTAACATGCATATGATGTAATGGGCACATGGTGTAATGTGCACATGAAATAACATGCATAGGATGTAACAGGTATATAGTGTAACATGCATATGATGTAATGGGCACGTGGTGTAATGTGCACATGAAATAACATGCATAGGATGTAACAGGTATATAGTGTAACATGCGTATGATGTAATGGGCATGTGGTGTAATGTGTGTATGATGTAATGGTGTATGTGGTATAACTCATCTGGCTTTCTCATGGCTTACCCATTGTCTCTGCTCTTCTGTTCCAACTTAGGAGGCAACCTTTCCAAACAAGACTGGACCATCCAGTGGCCCACGACAGAAACGGGGAAGGAGAACAATCCCGTGTGCCCCCCGGAGCCCACCCCGTGGATCCGCACCCATCTCTCCCAGAGCCCCAGGGTCCAGTCCAAGTGCGTCCAGCACTATTGTCACACCAGCCCCACTCCCGGGGCCCCTGTGTACACTCACGTGGACAGGCTTACCGTGGACCCCTACCCGGGCTTGTGCCCGCCCCCGCCCCTGGAGTCGGGCCACCGTTCCCTGCCCCCATCGCCCCGGCAGCGGCACGCGGTCCGCACCCCGCCGCGCACCCCCAACATCGTCACCACCGTGACCCCGCCGGGCACGCCGCCCATGAGGAAGAAGAACAAGCTGAAGCCCCCGGGGACCCCACCACCCTCCTCCCGAAAGCTGATACACTTGATCCCGGGGTTCACCGCGCTGCATCGGAGCAAATCCCACGAGTTCCAGCTGGGGCACCGCGTGGACGAGGCCCACACGCCCAAGTGAGTGCGGTCGGTGGGTGCCCTGGGGCTGTCGAGTCCCGGACTGCGAGGGGCTGCCCCGTGGTCTCAGGAGCTGCCCAGGTCAGGGAAACCGGGAACAGACTTGTGTTCCAGACTCTGGCTGAATGAAAAATGGCTTTTCACAGAGGGTTCTGAGAAAATGAATAGAACAGACTTTCTCAGAATAGGCCATTTAAAAAATACGATTAATATCCTATAGCCTAGGGGCTAAATCTGATAGCTGGCCTGATTTTGTAAATAAAAGGTATTGGAACATACCCATGATCATTCCTTTATGTGTTGCCTATGGCTGCTTTTGTCTGACAATGGCAGAGTGAGAATGGCCCACAAAGCTGAAAATATTTACCATCTGGCTTTTTACTGAAAACGTTTGCCAACCCCTGCAGAGTCTAGCCTAGTGCCGCTCCTAGAAATAGGATATGAGGCATATATTAACCTTCAACTTTCTAGTAGTCACATTAAAAAGAATGAAAAGGAACAAGTGATATTAATTATCATAATACGTCATTCAACCTAATATATCAAAATGATAATATTTTAACGTAGAATGAATGTAAAATATCATTACTGAGATATTTTGCATTTTTTAAAATACAAAGTCTTTGATATTGAATGTGTATTTTATATCCACGGCTCATTTCAGTTGAAGGTGGTAGGAAGCAGGACACACTGAGGAAATTGACAGAGGACCCCTTTGAGGGAGAGAGCAGGTGTGTGATGTAGGGTGACACTTGAGGATTGGGCAGGTTGCTGTGCTATTCACAGTAGCCAAAAAGTAGAAACAACCTGTGTCCATCAGTAGACAAATGAGTAAACACAATGTGGTCTATCCATACAATGCAATATGATTTAGCCTTAAAAAGGAAGAAACTTACTTTTTTTGAGACAGAGTCTCGCTCTGTTGCCCAGGCTGGAGTGCAGTGGTGCGATGTCAGCTCACTGCAACCTCTGCCTCCCAGGTTCAAGTGATTCTCCTGCCTCAGCCTCCCGAGTAGCTGGGACTAGAAGCCTGCGCCACCATGCCTGGCTAATTTTTTGTATTTTTAGTAGAGACAGGGTTTCACCATGTTGGCCAGGCTGGTTTCAAACTCCTGACCTCAAATGATCTGCCCGACTTGGCCTCCCAAAGTGCTGGGATTACAGGCATGAGCCACCACGCCCGACGTGGGAGGAACTTCTGATATATGCTACAACATGGGTGAACCTTGAAGACAGCATGCTAAGTAAAATGTGCCAGACACATAAGGACAAATACTGCATAATTCCACCAATATGAGATACCTAGAGTAGACAGATTCAAAGAGGCAGAAAGTAGAACAGTGGATGCCAGGGCTGAGGGGAGGGAGAATGGGGAGTTATTATTTATTGGGTATAGACTTTGCATTTGGGATGATGTAAACATTCTGGAGATGGATGGTGGTGATGGTTGTACAACAATGCAAATGTAATTAATACCACTGATCTCTACACTTCAAAGCAGTTAAGATGGTAAATTTTATGTTATGTGTATTTTATCACCATTAAAAAAAGGCAGGATTCTGTAAGTGAAGAGTTGGCACACTTTTTCTGTACAGGGGCAGATAGTAAATACTTTAGACTTTGCAGGCCATTTGGTCTCTATTGCAGCTACTCAACTCTATCATGTAGCACAAAACCAGCACAGACAATAGGTAAACAAATAGGCATGGCAGTGTTCCAATAAAACTTTATTTATAAAAACAGGTACCTGGCCCAATTTGGCCCATGAACTGTGGTTTACCAAGCCCTGTCTGAAGCTGTGGTGTAGAGAGTGATTCTCTTTTTTGAAGCATTGGGAATGCCCTAAAGTGATTGACGTGGAACATATGATTTTACAATAGTCATATTCAAGCTGCTGTGTGGAAACCTAGCTTGAAGACGTAGAATGCGTGTCTGAGACCTCTGAGGGTGAAGCAGAGGATAGATGCTTTTCTGATTGGAGTTGGGTTTGATTTGCATGGTTTTGTGACAGCCACAGAGATTGGGGCCTGCTGAAACCTCAAGGTGAAGACATGGGGTAGAGTTCTAGGAAGGCTGGGAGTGCAGGTTGCTAAGGTGGAAGGTGGAAGAGGCATTTGGGGTCTGCTTGCTACATTGTCCCCACACTTTGTGCTTCTTCCTGTCCGTTTCCCAGGGTGCACCACCTAGTAAGGCGAAACTTGATCATAAAGCCGACTCTCCAGACACATCATCTTTTAATCTGCAATATGGAGGCCAAGTGAGAGAGGCTGCCCTTTGGTTTTTAAATGCGGTCCTTTCCCTAGACCCCTGAAGGATTAATTCTGCCTGGATAGGGCTGAATGGCCCACTTCTTCAAGGTCTTCCAAATTTTGGAATGTGTATATCAGGACCCAGGTGGTGTTAAGCTTTGCCCTTCAGGTTTCTTCTGGCTGAGTTAGCAAGCTCATCACTTTCTCAAGGCTAGTAGTTCCCTGGCCCACCTTGGGGGATGCTGTGGTTCATGGCAAGGAAGGAGTAGAGGAGAGGAACAGAGTGGTCAGTTTGGTGATGTAGAAAATGCTGTGGGACCACTTAGCCTGAGACCATGCCTCCAGGTTCACAGGGATATCAGGGCAGCAGGCCTGGGGGTGTTAAAAAAACCTAAGACATAAACAACAGCAACCTGAATAATGTTGGTAGCAGGGGTCATAGGTAGAGGTGAATTCTGATCAGGACTTATAGAGGAGGTGTTAGTTGAGGTGAGTCCCAATTATTAGACTAGTAACAACAGTCATCATTTACCTGGGTCTGAGGTAGTCCTGGTTCTGTCAGGAAGTAGCCTTTTGACCACGGATTTAACCTCTCTGAATCTTAGCTTTCTCAGCTGTGGACCTAAGAGGTTAGGATACATTTGTGTTTTTAAATTTGTGGTCATGACCCATTCGTGGTTGGTAGCATTATTTTAATAGCTTGTGACCAGCATTAAAAAAATGAAATAGACTAGCCTAGACTAGAGTATATTGGAACACATTGCATATGGTAAGCGTTTTAGTGTTGTTTTGTAAAACTTGTTTTCAGTAAGTACGGGCATACTTCAGAGATATTGTGAGTTTGGTTCCAGACCACCACGATAAAGATCCTAAAGTGAATGACACAAATTTTGGATTTCCCAGTACATAGAATAGTTATGTTTTATACCATACTGTAGTCTATTAAGTGTATAATGGCATTATGTCTTAAAAAACAATGTACATACATTAATTTAGAAATACTTTAATGCTAAAAACACTAATGATCATCTGAGCCATAGTCTTTGCTAGTGGAAAGTCTTGCTTCGATGTTGATGGCTGCTGACTGATCAGGGTGATGGTTGCTGAAAGTTGGGCTGACTGTGACAATTTCTTAAAATATGACAACAATGCAATTTTCTACATAGGTAGACTCTTCCTTTCACAAAAGGGTTCTCTGTAGCATGTGATACCGTTTGATAGCCTAGAAGAACTTCTTTCAAAATTAGAGTCAATCCTTTCAAACCCTGCCACTGCTTTGTCAACTAAGTTTATGTAATATTCTAAAATGTTTGTTGTCAATTCAACAATGTTCAAGGCACCTTTACCTGGAGTAGATTCCATCTCAAGAAACCACTTTCCTTGCTCATCCATAAGAAGCAACTCCTTGTCTATTTAAGTTTTATCATGAGATTGCAGCAATTCAGTTATACCTTCAGGCTCCACTTTTAATTCTAGTTCTCTTACTGTTTCCACCACGTCTGCAGTTACTTCCTCCATTGAAATCTTGAAGCCCTCAAAGTCATCCATGAGGGTTGGAATCAACTTCTTCCAAACTCCTGTTAATGTTGATATTTTGACCTCCTTCCATGAATCATGAATGTTCTTAATGGCATCCAAAATGGTGAATCGTTTCCAGAAGATTTTTTTTTTTTTTAGATGGAGTCTCACTCTGTCACCCAGGCTGGAGTAAAATGGAGCAATCTTGGCTCACTGCAACCTCCACCTCCTGGGTTCTAGCAATTCTCCTGCCTCAGCCTCCTGAGTAGCTGGGATTACAGGTGCCCACCACCATGCCTGGCTAATTTTTGCATTTTTAGGAGAGATGGAGTTTCACCATGTTGGCCAGACTGATCTTAAATTCCTGACCTCAGGTGATCCACCCACCTCGGCCTCCCAAAGTGTTGGGATTATAGGCATGAGCCACTGCACCCAGCCTCCGGAAGGTTTTTATTTTACTTTTCCCAGATCCATCAGAGGAATCACTATCTATGGCAGCTATAGCCTTATAAAATGTATTTCTTAAATAATAAGACTTGAAAGATAAAATTACTCCTTAATCCATGGGCTGCAGAATGGACGTATTAGCAGGGATGAAAATCACATAATCTGTTTGTGCATCTTCCTCAGAGGTTTTGGGTGAGCAGATGCATTGTCGATGAGCAATAATATTTTGAAAGGGATCTTGTTTTTTCTATACAGTAGATCTCAACAGTGGGCTTAAAATATTCAGCAAACCATGCTGTGAACAAATGTGCTATCATCCAGGCTTTGTTGTTCCATTTATAGAGTATAGGCAGAGTAGATTTAGCATAATTCTTAAGAGCCCTAGAATTTTTGGCATGATAAATGAGCATTGGCTTCAGCTTAAAAGTCACCAGCTGTGGTAGTCCCTGACAAGAGAGTCAGCCTGTTCTTTGAAGCTTTGAAGCCAGGCCTTGACTTCATCTTTGTAGTTCTGAAAGTCCTAGATGGCATCTTTGAATATAAGACTGTTTCATTTACATGGAAAATCTGTTGTTTAGTGTAACCACTTTCATCAATGATCGTAGCTAGATCTTCTAGATGACTTGCTGCAGCTTCTCCATCAGCACTTGCTGCTTCACTGTACTTTTTTATCTTATGGAGACAACTTCTTTCCACAAACCTTATGAGCCAACCTCTACTGGTGTCCACATTTTCTTCTGCAGCTTCCTCACCTCTCTCAGCCTTCACAGAATTGAATAGAGTTAG